AAAAAAAAAAAAAAAATAAATAAATAAATAAATGAAGCCCAGACAGGAAAAGTTAGACAAGAATTATCTGGACTGGCATCTGCTTTAGTGATCTTGCCCTTACTCTTACAGTTCAGAACCCACCAGACTGAGGAGTGTATTATCAGGAAACATCTGGAGATAAGAGTTAGAGCCATTGAGTGGACATGGGCAAGCTGGCTGACAGCGTGAGACTTCTGGGCTGTCATGGTGACAGATCCTGGTGTAACCGCGAAGTCCTTACGCCAGGAATGGTAGCTAAGTCTGAAGCAAAGATTAGGCTGTGGGAAGGACACGTATGAATAGCAGCATGAGAATCCAGGAGCTGGAGCTGACAGAATTCAACAAATGAGAGGCAAAGCCAAGCAGAGAGTAACAGGAATTAGAATATTAGAGAATGCTTAGTAATTACTAATTAATAAAGGTGAGGATAAGTAGACCTCTGGTGAAAGCCAGAGAAAAAGTGATGAAATAGGCTGGCATGTCAGAGAAGCAGCCGAGAAGTTAAACCGGGTCACCCTGGCATAGTTACCTGAGATTTTTGAACAACACACTCAGTTGAACTTGGTTTTTCAGTTGTAAAGAATACCCTGAGTCAAAAAGATACAGATCATCAGTTTTTGGAAAATGGAAGATAAAATAGATTGTGTGTCCTTAGTCACGGCATTAAGCTTCAGTCACCTGCTTTTTTGCATCCATACCTGGGACATTTTTACATACCCTCAAAGAACTGGCAGCCTATGTTTTGAGTTACATCTATGTCCATGTGTTTCTCCTATATTTATCTGTCTCACTTTATCCTATTTCTACTGGCCACTTTGAAGTTGAAATGTTTCAAATAGTATTTCTTCTTTATAGTAACCTGCTGCTGGGATGAACAATGTTCCTTTACTCATTTACAAAATACCAAGTTTGAAGCCAGGTATGGTGGCACAAGGGCTGTAATCCCAGCACTCAGGAGGCTGAGGCAGGAGGATCGTTGCAAGTTTGAGACCAGCGTGGGCTGCAAAGTGAGCTCAAGGCCAGCCTAAGCTGCATAGCGAGATCCTGTCTCAGAAAGACAAAAAAAACACCAAAAAACAAAACAAAACCCACAAAAAACCCAAAAAACAAAAAAACCCAGGTCAAGATCATAAAGAAACCAAAGAAGAATGAGCAATTGTCAAAGACTAGAACAGACAAAGGAGACGTAATCAGGAAATACAACGTAGTACTGTATCTTGGATTGTATTCTTGTCCAGGAAAACGGCTTGGGGTGGGCAGGAAGAACAAATCCTAATGCAATCAACTGTGAATCGCAAATTATTCCAAAATAAAAAGTTGCTTTTAAAAGGTTGCATATTTAAAATCCTATAAATAAAAATGGATTATAAGATAGCTTTAGCATTTTCATTAGTAATTTACTCATTAAAAATAGTTATTTAACACTTTATGTGCCAAGTACTGGATGTACATTGACATTTAAAATGAACACATTCCCTGCTCACATGGAAGTACAGGACAGAAACAATACCGAAGTGACTCGGCCTCCAAAAATGCAATGACCAATCAGGCTAGGTTCTGTGAAAAAATGAGCAGGATCAATAGAGTCAGCTATAGTTGTTTTGCTTTCTTTATGTGCATTTGAGTTATTTTTATAATGAATATAATACTTATATGTCAGCAAAAGCTGTTTCCCAAGCCTAGTGGGAAGTTACCTCACAAGACCTCAGCAGACTGCCTAATTTCAGCGATTCATTTCTATACCAAAGGAGCCATTATTTAAAGTTGCAGTGAATAGTTTTTGCCTTCATATGGCATTGTTGCAGGGAGAAGGTAAACCAGCGTATACCTGCTCTCCTTAAATTCTTTGTACTGGTGGCAGAATAAAGAGACAAATCATTTAATGAGGGAGAAATAGGGATAGATGGGGGTCAAGCCATAGATAGAAGAGTTTTTCTGATTCATAGACCACTGTCCTTTTATTTAACCAGACTGCTTCCTGTGGCTTGATATTGACAGGTGGTTTAACAGATAATTTGTAGAGCCTGATTTCAGAAATACGGGGAGCTTTTGTTATAGTTTTCTTTCATTATTGATGGGGCATGATCCTTGAAATAGTAATCCCAGTCTTTAAATCATTAAAATTTTGTGTTGGGGGTTGGCGATTTAGCTCAGCAGCAAAGCGCCTGCCTGGCAAGCGCAAGGTCGTGAGTTCGGTTCCCGGTACCAGAGAAAAACCAAAAAAAAAAATTTGTGTTGGATTGTGTTTCACTATTCCCTTTATCCTGCCTGACTCCTATTCTTAGCTTTTTTTTTTTTTTAAATCTCTCCGGTTCTTTCTGGCCGTATGAAATGGAGGTTATATTTGTGTGTCTGGAGGTGGAGTGGATTCACATTTCAGACAAGCCCCTCGCTAGTCATGGTACCTTGGCCGTCCTCTCTGTGCTCAGTCTCCTTATCTGTAAAATGGAAAGGAAGATGAGAATACTGCTTTTCTCAGAGGAGTGCAGGGAGGATGAGTCAATGCTTGTAAGGTGCTTAGCACAGTATCTGACATATAGTAAGTACAGTATAATTATGGGCTACGTAGCTAATGTTTTCGGGGAATAGGAGAGAAAGTGAGCAGGTACTGCTTCATTTGCCGCCCATAGTTTTCAGCATCATTATGATTATCAAGTTCCCAGAGAAACACATAGTATTCCATTGGGCACTAGCAGCTTTGAAGAATACTTTTCCTATTCTTTTCCTATGTTTATTGGGAGCAGATGATGACAGTGATCCTTGCTTTGGGGGGAGTTAATGCCAAGTTGAACAACTACTCAAGTTGACAAGTTCGTGAGTGTAGGAGACATTATAGGCGTGGGTGACTTAACATTTACTGAAGGTATGAGCATGCAAGAGAGGACTGGTAGTGGCCGTGGTGTATGCCATCCTACCTGCTGCAGTGCTGCCTTCATTAACTGAGGAAATATTCTTTGGAGTGGTATGGTCTGAGAATTTGAAATCATTCAGTTAAGCATTTCTATAGCTTTTGCTTTCAACACTTGAAATATTGATCACAGTATGTAACTGCACATCGCAGTGTATACTTGTGTGTGTGGTGCATATGTATAGAACTCTAATTTGGAGTGTTAAGAGGGTCCTGAAATGTGCTGATCATTCTAATTAAAAACCATCCTGCGCTAAAACATAACAAAACACTCCAAACTTGGAAACTACCTTTCCTTAATTTCTTCTCTTTTGGTCTGTTTGTTTTTCTAGAAAATATTCCTGAGAAGGATCTTCAGGGAAGACTTTATATCAACCGTGTTTTTCATATCAGCGCTGAGAAAATGTTTGAACTGCTCTTCACTAGTTCACGCTTTATGCAGAGATTTACCAGTTCTAGAAATATAATAGGTTGGTCCGGGTGTTCTTACCTAATGAGAAGTGTGGGGGGTTATGTTAGCCTGGGAGGGTTGGGTCTATCTGAATTTATTGTTGTTGTCAAGGGAAAAAAGAGACATGCTTTGATTTTTGGTTATATACAAACTAATATTTAAATGTTTGGTTACATTCACATGTGAACTGTATAATTGTTTAACTAGGCAGATGCTACTTACAATGAAGTTCAGACTCATTGGAAACTCAAACTAGCTCTGCGTGGTGGTGCATGCCTGTAATCCCAGCACTCAGGAGGCTGAGGCAGGAGGATCGTTGCAAGTTCAAGACCAGCATGGGCTACAAAGTGAGCTCAAGGCCAGCCTGAACTGCATAGCGAGACCCTGTCTCAAAAAGAAAAAAAAAAAAGAAACTCCAACTTTACTTATAATTAATGTATATATTCAATGAGTTGAACCCAATTCAAAAAGGTTCTGTTGTGGAACAACTGGCTGCTGGGGGGGTATGGAACGGCCACCTTGCCGAAGGATGTGGCTGTGTCTATCACAGGTGTGACTTCTCTGGCCCAGCAGGTCTACCTCTAGGCATTCTCATCAGATTATGGGTTTATATACCCAGGAGTGGTGGATTATAGACACACCTATAATCCCAGCACTTGGGAGGCTGAGGCAGGAGGAGTACTGTGAGTTATGGGATAGCCTGGGGTATACTGTGAGTTCAAGGCCAACCCAATCTATATAGAGAGACACTGTTTGACCAAAGCAAAAGAAAAAAAGAACAAAGGGTACATTTACACTCTGAATAATGCCTACTATGTTATTTTTTATAGTGCCTGTAAGCTGACAACATTCCAAGTATCAATCAGTAACAGGATAAACAAATTGTATAAGTTTCCATAAAAGGATACTATATGCTAACACAATGAAGAACAAACTCCTGCTACTTAAAACAATATGAATAAATTCCACAGACATCTGCTGAGCAAAAAAGAAAAAAAGCAAGCTACAGGAGTACATGCTATCTATTTTCTTTATGTGAAGTTAGCGTAGTATTTGCGCTTGATACAATTTAGCATTGTAGTTACAGTTGTTGAGAATCCAGGGGGTAAAGACAGGGAGGGAGCTTTGGAGTTGCTGATGGAAGTTCTGTACCTTAATTTTAGTGATGATGTATGTGTGTGTTTCCTTTGCTAGTGAACTGTACACTTGACATTACAATATCTATGATATACTTTAGTAAAAAATTTGTAAAGGTTTATTTTGGGAGCATGTGGTTTACCTTGCTGTATAATTAGACTATAGCAGCAGCTGAGATTCATATAAAGTAAGCCACTTGCCATAGTCAATGAGAAAGTTTTCCTTTAATCAGTTTAAATATAGTTTATAATCTTGGTTTATATCTATAGTTTACATTTAATTATATACTTGTATCGACCATTAGATGTTATTCCCTTATTTGAAACTTTTACATAATTATATACTCATAGATGATGTCATGAGTATGGATTGTTGGTACAAAAATCAATTTTTTTTACTATTTATAGTAGATTTAGTAAAGAGATTTCTAATTGACAGATACTGATTCTCGTGATTATTTTAAGAGTTTTATGGTTTTAAACTGGGAGTGTGGCATGAGCCTATAATCACTGCAAGTTTGACCCCAGCACGGGCAACTTAGTGGTTCAGCAAGACCCTGTCTCCAAATAAAAAGTAAAAAGGGGCTGGGGATGTAGCTGAGTGCAGAGGCCATGGGTTTAGTTCTCAGACAGACAGACGGACAGACACACACACACACACACACACACATGCATACGCGTCAGTTCTTGCTTTCAAATCACTTTTTTCCTTCTCTTTTTTGGGGGTGGGGAGGGGAGTGAGACAGGATCTTGCTGTGTAGCCCACACTGGCCTTGAACTCATCGCCCTCGCGAGTGTCAGGAGTGCAGGTGTATGCCACCATGACTGGCTTGCTAGAGCAGTCAGGAGTAGCAGTGCATACCTGTAATCTCAGCACTTGGAAGGCTGAGGCAAGAGGATTAGGAGTTCAAGCCCAGCCTGGACTCCATAGCAAATGGAAGGCCGGTCTAGACTGCATGGCAAGACTGTCCCAAAAAACCCAAAATAAAAAAATGCATTGTCTAAGAGATCTGAATCTTTCTTTGCTCAATAGATTATGTTTAACTTTTTCCGTCTCTTCTAAATCTATTTTATATTTTGTTTTTATTCATTTCTACCTGGTATTTTAGAAGAGTCAGATATATTATTTCCCCTAACTTTCTAAGTTTATGGGACTGAAAAATAATATTGTGGCTGAAAGGACCCACAAGGAGTGGTGTGTTATTCCATGCTGATACTAAAGGAAGTTTTGTTTCTTGAAACACGACTGCATTTGTTGTCTAGTATCATATCTGGCTTCCATATGGGTGACTATATTCAGCATCTGATAATTATAATGGTGCTGAGAGGCAAAAACGTAGGGCTAATTCCGAATGTAAGCAGTTATAGGCACATGGCAAGGTATATGTAAAATTAGTCAGAAGCTTTTCCCTAAAAGAGAATTTGCTCATGACTGCAAACCATACTGCTGACCTTGAACCTGTTACCTGATAATCAAAGTTGGATTTCTTTTTTTGTTTGTTTGTTTTGGGACAGGGTCTCACTATGTAGTTCAAGCTGGCCTTGAACTTGCTTATATAGCCCAGGCTGGCCTCAAACTCACAGCAATACTCCTGCCTCAGCCTCTGGGGTGCTGGGATTATAGGTGTGCACCACCATGCCTGGCAAAGTTACATTTCTTAAGAATGCATTTCAAAGTCTTCTTTTTAAAAATATAAAGAACATATTGCTTATTATGTTATAACAAATAAATAACAAAAACCAGTTATTTGTGGATTTAATCTAATTCCAGCATTAAATGGCTACTACTGGATCTAACTTCTTAAATCTTTAATCTTTATTTACAGTTGTGTGATACTATTCATAATTCAAAGTTCAGTTTTAATTCTTTCCCCCACATTTTTGTTATGAAAAATGAAAACCTTCAGAAAAGTTGCATAAATACTCAAAACACCCACCCATACATCCTTTACCTGGTTTTATCAATTCATAAAATTATGTTACATGTATACAGAATACAATTTTCTGTTAACAGTGTACGGTTCGGAAGCATTAAGTACATCCACTCTGTTGATTAACCATCACCACCCTTAGGTCCTAGGAACTTCAAAAAGAAGTCTACAGAGGAAGTAACTTTTATCTTCTACAAAAGAAAAAGTTCATTAACAGAAAACAATTTAGAAATCAGTGTTTCGGAGATGTGTACGTGTTATATCTAAGAAGAGTATCTCACATTTAATCTCTCTGTAATGTCCAGCATATAGTTTAAGGGGTTAGGACTGGTCAAAAATAAAAATTTAATTCTAAATCTACACCTCTGATTCCATTTGAAGTCACACCCTTCAGATTTCTAGAACTAACTTCTTTTGTGTTTGCTGTTATTAGATGTAGTATCTACTCCTTGGACTATAGAAGCTGGAGGTGATCAACTGAGAACCATGACCTACACTATAGTCCTTAATAATCCCCTTACTGGAAAATGTACTGCTGCTACCGAAAAGCAGGTATGTCTATTCTAACAGTATTCTAAAAGCATCATGCATAGGGCGGGAGAGAACATGCCTGTCATAGTCACCAGTTTATAAGATAATTTCAACAAATACGTGACAAGGGATAAAAGGGGGAGGAGAAACTGTTACAGATTAATAGAGGCATATAACACCACTATCCACCCAATCCTAATCCAATAAAAGCATTTATGAGATTTGAGGACTTGTTACGTCATAGTTTGTTTTAACAAACAGTACTTTTAAAAGTGATGCACTGAAGGCTTCAAAAAGAAATGTGCCTACGTGTTTGCAGATAAAATTATACTGATGCCTAGAATTTCTTAACACTCTAGCCGAACAGAGGATAGTGGTGGAGGGCAGGAATGTGGAGAAGGGCAACAATAAGACCAGGCAGTGGTTAGCGTTCAAGTTGATTGGTGAGTCCATGAGGGTTTCTTACACTTCCTTTCTACTCTTGTGCATGTTTACACTTTTTCATAATAAAAAGTTTTTTTAAAGTATATTCTAAAATCTGATTTATAGAATCATGGAAAGGGTTAGGGCCAGAGAGCGAGAGAGTTGCTGTGGGAAGACATTGAGTTCACAAAACTGAACACCAGCTACTGAATACTTCCGTGGTAACCGTGTGTGCTCGCTTACAGGGGAGGTTTGTGTCTGGCCGGTTTGTGTTGAAGTCAGTGCCTGTGTTCTGCAGCTACTGTTAACATCCGAACTCGGCCCGCTCTTGAAGTTTTGTGCATCAGTGTTTAAAGTGGGATTTCTTACCTCTCAAAAAAGTTTAAAGATGGTCAAATATACAAGAAAAGTTTGGTGTTTTGGTTGACTGGAATTTTTGATAACCACTGAATCCCCTTCCTCCCTTAGGTAGAAAAAGTGTGGTTAAAATGAGAAAGGTTGGGGGCCAGGGATGTAGCTCAGTGGCACAGCACCTGCCTGGCAAGCGTGAGGTCCTCAGTTTGATTACCGGTATCAAAAATGAGAAAGTTTTATTTCACAATCACTTTAGGTCCTGTTTAGGAAAAGTGATGTTTTACTCATTCGTCCCTACTCCTTTTTGTTTGTTTGTTTGTGTGTGTGTGTGTGTGTGTTTATTATTTTCATAATCTCATAAATGCTTTTATTGGATTAGGATTGGGTGGATGGTGGTTTTATATGCCTCTATTAATCTGTAACAGTTTCTCCTCCCCCTTTTATCCCTTGTCACGTATTTGTTGAAATTATCTTATAAACTGGTGACTATGACAGGTATGCAGGTGGAGGGGAAGATGGTTTTGTTAAGCTTTTATAAATTTGGGGGAAGGCCCTTGTTATAAATCAATTGATTTTTTAATTGTCCCCCTAACAGGAAGTTAGAAAGGTCTTATAAGAGACTATATGGTTCCTTTCTCTTCCATAAGCGTAAAAGAAAATACCCATTGCCCAGTGAAATGATAGAGTGACAGCTCCTCTCTTTCTGCAGGTCTTTTCTCAGCTCACAGTAGCACGGCCAACATGCGGGCTATTCTAGCTTGTGTATATAGGCTTCTGGTGTCTTGTAATTTCTGAGAAGGAATTCTAGTATGTGCCACATTGCCAAGAAATGTAACATGTGAAAAATGTGCATGCAAATTTTTTTAAATCTTATTTTGGCAGACACTGTATAAAGAAAGTCGGGAAGCACAATTTTATTTAGTAGATTCAGAAGTTCTGACCCATGATGTCCCTTATCATGACTACTTCTATACCCTGAACAGATACTGTATCATTCGATCTTCAAAACAGAAATGCAGGCTAAGGTGAGATACTGCAAATGAGTGTGTTAGAGTAGGCTAGATACGCTTCGGTTACATTAAAAACATCAGAGTTCTTAGCTTTATACGACAAAGATTTATTTTTGCCTAAGTTACATGTCCAGGCAGAAGAGGGGAGAGGCTCTTCACCCAGGGCTCCAGCTGGTGAAGGTTTTATCATTCTGTGCTACACAGTCTAGAACAAGGGCGTTTTGGTTGCTAATAGAAAACTGTAGAAATGTGCTCCTAGTTCACTGGGCCAGTCACATGGCCCTGTTCGCAGGCAAGGGGGCACGTGGTGAACAGTAACTGGAGGAGTTCTGGGGGGGCACGTGGTGAACGGTAACTGCTGCAGGGGAAGGGAGAAGCATTGGTGCGTTAAGGAGTAACCTGCCTATCCCAGTTAATGTAGAAACTTTCAGCTAATACGTGACCTCTAGAGATTGTTTATGTAAGGCATCTAGGAAATTTAGCATGTACTTGGAGCTTTGCTTGCTAAGGTGCATTAGGGCTACAGAAAGTAAAGTAACAGAATGGCATGTACTTAGAAGGACAATTTGAAGTTATTAGCAGCTCACCATAGTTTTTAAAGAAATCATTATCAGCGGACAAATTTTCTTTTGTAGTTCTAGTGATTTTCCATCCTTTTGGCTTCCCATGTAATATAACCTTACATTTAATTGCAATATTAGTATACCTAAGGTCTGTCCTTAAATACATTGTCCTCTTTTCTTATCCTATTAGAGTGTCCACAGATTTAAAATACAAAAAACAACCATGGGGCCTGATCAAATCTTTAATTGAGAAGAATTCTTGGAGTTCACTGGAGCACTATTTCAGACAGCTTGGTTTGTATAGCTTTTGATGAATCTGTTTTTGTAAAGGTAGCGCTTATTAATGACATAGACGGGTTCTTCATCAGATTCATAGTAATAATGTTGGGATGACTCACTGAAGCGGTGTTTCCCGCTCCCCAACTTGTCCTACCACCTGTGGGATTTCAAAGCTTTCAATTTCTGTTTGTTTGAGAACACTTCTGTGGTGCTTCTTATATGCCAGGCATACAAGATTTTATGTGCTTTATGAATATTAACTCATTTTGTCCTCATGACAAGCCCATCAAGTAGGTATACTCTTTTTTTCTATTTCACTAAAGAGGAACTAAATGACAACATGGTTAAGTGACTTGTCCATGACCACACACTTAAGAGCTGTTATGTTCTCTGGAAGGAGCCAAGGATGCTGACTGCAGTGTGGGACTCCAGGACCAGCTCACATACACTGTGTGCTCTCTGGGCCCCAGAGAGTCCTTGGGCACAAACCCCTCTTAAGGGTGCAGCTTTCCTATGCAGGCCCGCTGAGCCAGGGGTGTTAGGAGTATGTGTGGATTTGGTGGAGGTGGGTATTGGCGGTTGGCTGAGGAAGTGATATAGCTGTTCTAGTGTTTAGAATCTTCTTTATATGTACATAAAGAAGAAATATATAAATATTTGACCTTAATTTTAGTTGAGGAAAAGCTGGAGGTCAGCTGAGGGTATCTTAAGATTTTATTGTTTAAGCCAAGTGTGGTGGCGCATGCCTATAATCTCAGCACTTGCGAGGCTGAGGCAGAAGGATCGCCACCAGTTTAAGTCCAGCCTGGACTATTACATAGTGAATTCAAGCCCACCTTGAACTAGAGAGTGAGATACTGTCTCAAAAAAAAATGTATTGTTTAGTTTGTTAATTACTTATTTTCCTAGTCTTTCTTTCTTTGGCTGTTTCATTGTTAAACACATCAGAAGCAGAGAAAATAAAACTCTAAAAATTAGTTTGGCCACTGGGTAATGAGTTTCTAACAAAAACTCAGATGAAGGAAAAGGATGAAATAAATGACAAAAAATGGGATTTTCAGATGGTTTGCAGATTTTCTTTACTAGTGCTTTCTTTTTTTGTGAATCCTAATTGAAAATTCAAACTATTATATGCTCCTCTTTCCTTTGAGGTTGCTAAGTACCATAACATATCTTCGAAATCTTTTTAATGATCCGGTGTAATTGGGTGGCCTGTTCTCTCCATAACTAAAGCCATTACATTAGTATTTAACATAGCACATGACATATTTGCACTGATGTCTCCAACACTTTTTGATATGCAGTCTTCCTAGAACAGTGAAATCTCATTACGGGGTCATTGTACCTTGTAAAGGTATCATTGCAAAGCTTTTTATTAGAAGTAAAGTTTGAATCTAGGCTATAAGAACCTTAGAAATAGTTAAAGTTATCAAGGCTTAAAACAACAATATTTCTAACTTATAGTTGAAATTTCCCTATATCTAAAGATTCTTTTTTAAAAAAACCATCTCTTAGAATCAGAGTTGTTAATAGAAGAATCTGTATTAAATCAGTCCATTGAAGATGCTGGAAAACTTAGTGGCTTACGAAGGAGAAGGCGAGCATTCAACCGAACGGCCGAAACGGTTCCGAAGCTGACGTCCCAGCGTTCCTCTAGAGATACAAGCTTAGAGACCAAAGGAGATACTCCAGGTAGCTGTCACTTGTAAACAGATGAAATAGCTCAGCGTATTTATAAGTCAGATAGGTCTGAATTTTTCCCCTTCTTTTTGATGGTCTTTATCATATTCAGTTATTGAAAATTCATATTTAAACATAAAGGAACTGTTGGAAAATGGCCAGCATATGACCAATAGTAGTAATTTATTTGAGCCACACAGCATTTTAAAATTGGAGACTTTTATATAAAAACTCAGACCTGACAGGCCAACTAGCCAAATCCCTTCATGGCAACAGTTGGCTGGAGTTCCTTCCTGACTGCAGCTTCAGACTGTGTCTCCTTGGCTGGCCACAGACCCCCCCACGACCTCCAGTCTCCCACTTCGGGACTGCTAGGCATTTCTGCCGGGTATCCACAGACATTGGATTTCTACCTTGCAGTGTACTGCTCTTGGGCACGTTCAGGTCCAGCCTTGGGAAACTGGATGGAATTTGACTTTTATTATCCCTACCCTCTAAACTGTGAAGACATCTTGCCCTTGCTGTTATTCTCTCCTCGCACAGATGTAAAGCCGCCATACCTTCTCATCCTCCTCCATTATCAGATCCTTCCTTGGCTTCTATCTTTGTGTGAATATATTTATTCACTATTGAAGGTTAGGCAACAGTGAATAGATAGGGATTTTTTTTAAAGAAGTGAAACACTGCACATAAACAAAGCTCAGTTATTATTTACAGAGATGGTACTTAACTGTAAAACACGTTGTGCTGTATTGAATTGCTTATTTAACTTTAGGGTAAATAATACTCAAAACTTGATCGCTGTAGGTTTTCTCATTGTAGACTTGTTTCATATTACTCAAGATACCAGAAATTAAAAAAGAGGTGCAGGGCATTTTCCCTAAAATACTTTGTCTTTATGAATAATTTAAAAAATTGCTTTTCCAGTTCTTTTCAAATGAGGATTAAGTTTTTTCCAGTTGTAACTGCAGCCCTCACTCTCATACAGGCTTTTTCTTGTGATTACAGGAAAGAAAAAGGACATGGAAAGCTTTAACATTGCTCTCATTGTGATAATGAGTGTTTTGTAAGTATTTTCTGTGAACCCTTATCTTGCTTGTGTCTTCATTTACTTTTAACTGGTTCCCAAATGAATATTATTGGGTAGAAATTACCACTATTTGATGAATGTTGGCCTACAAATAGAATAGTTTTTGATGTATGATTTTCAGAATTGTTAAATTTGAAGGAATACAAAGTACAAGTTCAACAAATGTCTTTATTTTGTCACCAGTCTGGCTTATTTCTACTATCATAGTGTTAGTGGGAAGTTTCATAAATTTAAAGCAAACATTTATATACACATATGGGTTAAGTCCCCCCAATTCTGTTTTACCCTCAGTGGTTCTTATGTTTTACTATGCATAGCAGTCACTTGGGGAGCTTGTCAAAATTCAGATTTCTTGACCCTAAATCCCAGAGATTGAGGAAAAGGTGTTGAGTCAATAGACCTTGACTCTAGGGATCAGGAATCAGTATTTTAAAGTACACACTTCAGGTTACTCTGATGCAAACACTGTGAGTATCACATGGTGAAAAATAATGGGGCAATCAGTCTGCGTCTTAGGGCACACTATAGGAATCTACTTGGCCAGTCATATTTAGAGTACGAATATCCTCATGGCTCTGTAGTAATCTCAAATGAGTTAGTTTCTTAGATCAATTGAATTGGTTGCCACTGTGATACACTCTGGGTAATAACTTTTTGGAATGGACCTCTTATTTTTTTTATTTTGTTTTTTTTTTTGAGACAGGGTTTTGCTCTACAGTTCAGGGTGGACTTGAACTCACTTTGTAGCCCAGGCTGGCCTTGAATTTAAGGCAATCCTCCTGTCTCAGCCTCCTGAGTGCTGGGATTACAGGCATGTGCCACTATGCCCAGCCTGGAATGAAACTCTTATCTCAGTTTTTCTCATTATAGACTTTAGAACATAGAAAATATCTGATATTCCTTTGAGTTTTATAGAGGTTCCATATTCTGTTCTGTTTTTTATAGCACTTGTGTAATATTATCAATGTCATTCTGCATTACTTTGCAGAAAGTTTATACTCAATATTGAATATACTGATTTATGTACTATTTCAATGCCATAGTAATTTCATAGATCTGATTTTCTTGCTACCTTTAAGTTTTTTTCTTTAAATCCTCTTTTCTTTATATAGTTATATAAATACCAAATATATATATCAGGAATTTTATATATATATATAATTATATATAAATGTATATATATATAATTATATATATAATTATATATATATATGTATAATACACATGCACCTTTTTTTATAGTATTGGGGATCAAATCCAGGGCCTTTGGTAGGCAAAGTGCTGTACCACTAAGCTATATCCACAGCCCCATTATATATTTTTTAGGTAAGTTACTATTTTAACAGAAAAAGATAAGTAGAGAGATAATGATGTCACCTATATATTTGCATATATGTATGTCTAATAAGGTATGCATCCAATTACTTGAATGTCTGCTGTGAAAACTGATACATTAAATTCATTTAGTGTATAACATTTTATTATTGTTTTTCTTTTTGCTGTATTAGGGATTGAACCTGGGCCTTGTGCCTGTTAAGCAAGAGCCCTACCACTGAGCTATACCCTTAGCCCTCAATATTTGTATATGTGTATAGTAATGTATGCACCCATTCACTTGAAAGTTTGCTGTGAAAACCAATACATTAAGTTCATTTAGCATGTACCATTTTATGTTTTATATCATTAATACATATTTGGGATTTCTTTGCTCATTATGAATGAAAAACTTTTGCATATTTATATATATATATATATTTGTTTGGTTTGTTTCTGCCGGGAATGAGATGCATCATGATCTACCTAAGGTCAGCTTTATATTGATCTTTGTTTCCTTTTTGAAATGCTGCATTATGAGCGGTAATTGCTGAAGTCAAAGTACCCAAAAATATCCCGAAAGCTTACCTGGTAGGTTTCTGAGCTGGTGGTCCACGTCAACACCGGTCGGACTTGCCAGCAGGGAGGACAGATGTCAGAGACAACCTCAACCTGCAAGTTGGGGATACCAAAGGACTTTTGTTGCTACTTGTTACTAGTTACTTTCTTTTTCTTTAGCATCCACTTAATGCCTTACTTATTTTATATAATAAAACAGGGAGAATTTATTTAAATAATGGGACCATAGCATGTGTCTTCTGCACTAGCAATGTGTGAGGCCTGGGTAGATGTGGATTCACCATATGTAATTTTCTCTGCCTAGTTTGATGTTGCTAGTTGTGTTGAATGTGACACTGTTTCTGAAGCTCTCAAAGATTGAATATGCTGCTCAGTCCTTTTATCGTCTCCACCTCCAAGAAGAGAAATCGTTAAAGTAAGTCTCCCACCCCTGCATATTTTCACCATATTATTCCAGTAGTTCCTTAGTTACACAGAATCTAATTCCGGTTTCAGCATTTCTGGTCTGCCACTGTCCTATAGTCATAAGCACATTCTTTGTGGGTTTCATTTTGTGTTTTGTTTACAATTTATGGGGGCACTGAAAGTTTGGAAGTGAAGGATGATAAGCTAGTCTCTTGATTTTGAAGGTGTTGCTTTTCTTTCAGTTTAGCCTCCCATATGGTCTCAGGAGCAGAAACTAGTCAGAAGGACAAAGATCAGGCCCATCGTCTAAAAGGAGTGCTCCGAGAGTCTATAGTGATGCTCGAACAGGTAGGCAAACCGTGGTACTGCAGGAGTTAGTGCCTTTGTATCGGCGTGATCAGTTGCAGTGGTTATGAGCATATTTATCAATGTTTGAAGAAAGTTTGAGCATTATGCACATTGCATACATATACACTTGTGGTTTTTTTTCTATAAAAGACTTGAATAACTTCAATTTTCAGTTAGTAATAGATTTTGAAGGTGTTTCCATATCCTATTTCATTCTTTTCATTGGCCATCCTATATACAATTACATGCTTAAAATTAACTCTTCCTATAAAATGGTTGCAACTGTACATACTTTTCATTATTTGGCTTTTATCTTTTAACCATACATATTGGAACACTTCTATATCAGTATATGAAGAACCTCCTCTCTTAATAGCTGCATAGGACTCAGCTGTAAATGTGGCATATTTTGCCAGTTCTTCATGGAAATGAACATACATTATTTCATTCTTTTGATGTGATCTTGACCGTGATATCAGCAATATATGCTGCTTAGTTCCATGAACCAAAACTTAGGATTCCCTGTGGAAAATAAAGGTTAATATTTCCATTATGAATGTAATACGTGTTTACTTGCATTTTTACTTATTTTTTTGAGACAGGGTCTCACGATGTAGTTCAGGGTGGCCGGGAACTCACTCTGTAGCCCAGGCTGGTCTTGGATTCATGGCAATCCTCCTGGCCCAGCCTCCCAAGTGCTGGGACTATAGGTGTGCACCACCATGCCCAGTATGCTTGCTTTCATCATGGAAAACACTGAGACTAATAGAAGAGAACATAGTTCTATATTCTGATGCAATCACTGTTAATATTTTATTTCCTTCTATCTTTTCTTCTCTGTATATACTTGGTGTTTTGTTTTTGTTTGTTTGTTTCTTTTTTGTCTTTTTGAGTCAGAGTCTCACTGTGCAGTTCAGGCTGACCTTGAGCTCACTTTGTAGCCCAGGCTGGTCTTGAACTCACAACAGTCCTCCTGCCTCAGCCTCCTGAGTGCTGGGATTACAGGTGTGCACCACCACACCCAGCTATATACTTCTTTTTAAAAGAGATTCAGTACTGAGCATTTCTTAGGCTATCACGTGGGCACTGAAGGGGACAGCTTCAGCTAGGCACTCTTCAGATGTGCATATCTACAGTTCCTTAGTGACTTTTCCTCCCACCCTGAGCAAATAGTGTGTCATATTCTCACGTTTCTCCTCATCTCCTCCATTTTCTCTTCATTCCCGACTAATGCCTGTGATTTGTGGAGAAAGGAGAAACTTTTCCTTCTTCTATAAGCATTCCCGTAATCCTGTTCTTGTTACACATTAGAAGCAGTCCTCTGCCTATGGGAAGCCAGTGCCAGTGTACGTTAGCTCCGTCTGTGGCTTCTCTGCTTCTCCATTCATTCTCCGTCTTCCTCATCAACTGGATTCTTACCATCAGCAAGTGACCCTGCTCAGGTTCTCCTATAAAACAAACCTGCTTTGTCCACATCCTTCTCTGCTTGCTTGTTTGTGTCTGCCTCCTTTCACAGGCTTTTTCAGAGTCACCTGCTGGCTCTCACTACTTTATTCTTCACAACCCATCCACTTTTTATTTTTGTCAAAGTCAGTAGCTCACAGAGTTAATTTATTCTACAATATTTGTTCACAAAAATGGCAATCTCAGCACCTTTTTCTCCATTTCTTGAGTAGTTCAGTTTTAGACATTAGCTTTTGATTTTCTATTCTAGAAAACAAGAATTTGATTTTCTTTCTTACCTCTCACCCCCCTACACATCCATTTCAGATTCCTACTGTCTTCCCAGTGAAGTTATAACATAATTTTGATTAGATCCATACTCATAATTGACTTTGTTTTGACCGAGTTTGCTACTCAAAGCTGGACATTACAATTAAATCATGATTTATCTTTTCTGTGCTATTGGCTATCCTTAAAATTTTGTCTTATCACAGTTGATTAGTTTCCCTGTATTATTTATAAGCATTTTGTGTCTGTATTCTCTGTTTATAAATCTCCTCCTGAAACCTTTATTCACTCAGGCACTGCACTGATGGAGCCTTCTGCCTGGGGGCTGTAGTCTTCCATGCCTGGTACACACTATCATTTGAAGATTCCTGTTACCTGTCTCCTGTTTCCTGTGTCCCATGCTTTCCTTTCTCCTTCATTTTTGCCAATTCTGGGGACACAAAAAGGGCCTCGCACATCGCTAGGCAAGCACCCTACCACCGAGATATCTATCTCTTTATTGGGCACTTTCTTGAGGAGCTTCCCAAGAGAGTGTGGAGGTATATAAACTCTTTGAGTTCAGTTATCTGAAAAAAAATTTATACTCTTCTTTCTCTTGAGTAATGGTTTGGTTGCAGATAGAATTCTAGATTGGAAATAATGTTTCTTCAGAACTCAGAAGGCATTTATTCATTGTCTTTTGGCTTCCAGTGATACTATTGAGAAAGTTATCCTTCCTGATCCTTTAGTTTGGAAATTCACATTGTATGGTTCTGGAAATTTTCTTAAGTCAGATAGTTGATGATTGCCTCCCCTCTGTTTTCTCTCCCCTTACTTCCTACAATTCCTATATTTAAACATCAGCCTTCTGGTGGGTTGTGTAATTTTTTCTTTCCAGCTTCCATCATTTTGCATTTTTGTCCTACTTTTTGAGAGATATCCTCAGCTTTATCATCAAATTCTTCTGTCGAGTTTTCCAATTATTGTTAACGTGTTCTTAATTTCAGAAAGCTATTATTTTTCAGAATTGTTTCTTTTTTGTGGTGCTGTAATTTTTTAGGCTATAATATCTTTAGCTCTCAGAGGATATTACCAACAGTTATTTTTTTCTTCTTACATACTCACTTTCCATCGCAGTTCTTGCCCTTTCTCTTGGTTTCTGTCCCAAGAGGATCTCTAGATACCTGGTGGTCCTCAGTCGTCTGCATGTGTGGATCATGATGGAGGCTCTTAACATACGGACTGGGCTGGAGTACCGTGAACTCCTCTGTAGATCTGGCCGGAAAGGGTGCTTGAGAAATCCTAATATCGTTACCTCCAGGTCCCTTTGCCAGAGGACGGTCAGTCCCACAGAGAACACACTCGTTCTCCTGGAGGATTAAGAGCTGGCCACTGGTATTTGCAGGAGCTGAGTAGAAGAAGAGAGATAGGGAGGGCAGGCAGAAGGGATAGGATAGGATAGCTCAGTACACAGTTTTTCACATGATCACCACTTTCGCTATGGTATCACTGTCTTATCAATGCAGGCCAGACAGCCAGGACCTTGTTTTATCCTGTTCAGAAAATTGAATTCTAGACTTCTGCCTACATAGTAGAAGACATCATATGCCCAAAGTTTTATCCCTTCCTCCTGCCCACCAGCACCTGATGAAGATTCTTTCAGGTTACTTTTGTGGGTGCTCTTCCTTCCCTACTGTTAGTTTAGGATTTTTTTCCCCAAGCCAGCTAAGTTAGCCATGTGATTTCTAGTTTCCAAAGTTGTGTTGGAACTTTGCTCTTTGCTTTATTCTTCTTTCTGCTGTGTGGATTTACGCCTTTTAAAAATCCCTTTATTGTGCTTTTAGGGATTTCTCTCTTTAGCTCACTTGTGCCTGATTTTTCTTCTCCCATAATTGCCTCCATTGATATTGATACAAGGATCTCTGGTGTGTAAAGATAATATACCTTTTGTAGGATTCATCTTATCGTGTCAGCATTTGACAGAGCTGACTACTCCCTTTCTTTAAATGCTTGTAATCTTGCCTTAACATAATTTTTTAAAAACTCAGCTCTATTGTGATGTCATTCACATCTGTGACGTTCAGCTTTTTAAAGATCTTTCAGTATATTCACAAGCTTGTGCGCCCATCACCGCTACTTCCTGAACATTTGTATGAGCCCCAAGGAAACCCTGCGCCCATTAGAACTTGCTCCTTTTCCGCTGGCAACCACCAGTCTACTTTCCATCAGTACACATTTGCCTATGCAAGGCGCTTCATGTGAGTAGCTCATGGAATAAATGCGGCATTTTGTAACCGGCTTCCTTCATTTTTGCTGGTTAAGATTATCTTTACTTGACCTCTTCTTGGCCCAGACGCATGGGGAATCTCTTTAAGATTCCCTTTCCTTCCCTAATGCTTTCCCTTTAGTTATCTCACCACTCCCCTAACTTTAAATGATCACCTAGATCTACGTATGATTCCTGTCTTAGTCTATTTGTGCTGCTACAACAAAATCCCTGAGTCTGATCATTTATAAACAGATATCTGTCGGTTCTAGATGCTGGGCATCCAAGATCAAGCCACTGGCAGGTTCAGGGTTGGATGAGAGCCCATTCGTTATAAATGATGCCATCTAGGTGTCCTTACAGGGCAGAAGGGACCAAAGGGTGTAAAAAAGACCTAGCTGGCTCCCTTCCGCCATTTTGTAAGAGTCCGTTCATGTGTGCAAAGCCTTCGTGACCTTTCCTCTCGCAAAGGCAATACCTCTTCCTACGACTGTTGCACTGGGGATTACATTTCAGCATGAATTTTGAAGGGGACACATGAAACAGTGGCAGCTCCCAAATCTGTGTCTCTTCCCTGACCCCTTCCCTGAGCTCTGGACATCTTTACCTGGATGACCGCAGCATCCCAAACTGATCATACTCAAAACAGAGTTCAGTTTTCCTCCAGGCTGCTATTTAATTTTCTTCTCGTGGACCTCATTTCAGAAAATGCTACTCAAGTAAGAAAATGGAATAAAATGTCTGTCTTTATGTATGTACTTAGTTTAGTTCACCCTTCACTAGCGTGTACCCTCCAGGAATGCGGAGAGCCATTCTGGGTCATCGTATACTTGGTGCTCGGTACATTGCCCAGCATGCAGCAGATCATCAGTAAATAGTTGTTGAATGAAGACAGATTTCTGGATCTCAAGTTGCTTACAGTTTTATTAAAGAAATCAGATGTTCATATGTATTGCTAAAGACTATAAAGTACAACATTAAGTTCATTGCTAAGTAGTAAAGGTAATAGTCTGAGAGTTTAGAGGCAAGGTGATTAGGGAAAATTATATGGGGATGTCGGAGCTATGAATAACTGTTACATAAGCGAAGAGGAACCTAAGCGTAATAGCAAGGAATGGCCCCCAGTGGAACTTGAGTTGTTTAGGGGACAATGAAGAGACCTCTGCACTTTAGAAACTATTTTTTTTTATTTTAAAGAAAAAGAACAAAAAACAAAATAACAAAAGCAAAGACAAAAACAAAACAACACAAAAACAATAAAAATGATACAGAATTTCAAAACAAGATGATAGGAAATTTTTTTTTTTTTTTTTTTTTTTTTTGGGTTTTTCTCCGGTACCGGGAACCGAACTCACGGCCTTGCACTTGCCAGGCAGGTGCTTTTGCCGCTGAGCTAAGTCCCCAGCCCCGATGATAGGAAATTAACAATGGTTCTTGTATTACTTATTGTTATCCTCAAAGTAGTTGCTCAGATTATCAGATATAGGTAGGCAAGACTGACCAACAATTAAACATTAACTGTTCCTTTCGCTAAACCAATAGAAATTAGTAGTACCATTATCTTAGCTATCTTGTGTATATATATATATTTTTTTTCCCCTTCTTTCTTTCTTTTCTCTTTCCCTCATCTCAGTTGTTCTTTCCTTTTGAGCAGTTTCTTCCCTTGCACAATATCTATTGTACCTTTCAAATTTTATTTACTCTTTCAGGTTCTTACACTAGGGAGACAGTATGATGTTTACACATGTGGGTCTGATTTACTTCACTTATGAGTATGGTTCCTAGTTGCGTCCATTTACCTGTAAAAGCCTGGAATCTTGGAAACAACCCAAATGCCCATCAACTAAGGAATGGATAAAAAAAAGGATGTGATATTTCTATATAATGGAGAATTACTCAGTGATAAAGAAAGAGAAACTTTAGAAACTATTTAATAAAACAAACCTTTCACTTTGGACAGTCTGATTCATGGGCTTATTAGAAGGCAGACTGTACTGTGGACCCTTGACTTAGGAACTCAATGCATTCCCGAGGGATGGTGGTAACTGAATTTGTCAATAGAAGGATCGGACTCCTCTATACAGCCTTCAAAGTCTCTCTCCTGTAGACAGGCAGATCTCAGTGTCCTTAGAGAGACATTGGACTGGGATTTCTCGATTAGCCCCATACAGGAAAGTTGTTATGTTCTTTCCAGGACCCTTTTAAGAGTTAAATCTGTACCTGAGACCAGCTGGAGGCACAAGTGGCTGGCATTTGGGTCATAACTGAAGATTTTGGTTGTAAGTTAAACCCAAAATTTCTGTTATAGCCCCGGTTGTTTGTATGTCAGGCCAGTAGTAACTCAAGGCTCCACTGTAGAGAAGTAGGAAGAAATGCAGTACTCTAGCCAGGGCGAAGAGCTCTGTAACAATCATATCCACAGCACACAGCCTAAAGAATCAGGGGTTTAGTATTCAATGTTTTATTTTTTTCAATGTTTATCATATAAATACCATTTTATGAATGGTATTGTAAACTTTTGGCATACAATAATCAGAAAAATTTATACAATCTGATTTTTGAAAATTTTGTTTGCAGCTGAAGAGCTCACTTGTTATGCTTCAGAAAACCTTTGATCTACTAAATAAGAATAAGACCACCATGGTTGTTGGAAGCTTTTGATTTTATGGACTAAAGCTACATCTGGAAGACAACCCGAAGATGAAGGATTTTAATTGTTGTAGGAATATCTCATTTTCTTACTGAAATTTTTAATATGAACATTCTTACTAATAACATTTATTTGATAATTATTCTCTGATGGCCTTCAGACTTGGTTTTCACTTCCTATATATATTTTCAGGCTATGCGTTTCTCTTGCGACTGTGAAACATATTCTGGAATTGGAATTCTGTTATACAAAAAGAAAGCAAGACACACTGAATTGAGTGGTACAGATTCTTTTCTACAGGCATTTGAAGTTTGATCCTTTTAATTTGTGTGTTAGCAGACTCAGTATGTGTCCAGCAAACTGCTTTCACAGTTGTGTTTATGAGACTACAGCACGTGTAAAAAGAAAAGTGCTGTCACTACTAATTTGAAGAGTTTTTAGGCATATCCAACATTTCTAAGTTTTATCCTGTAAATGTTACAACGTCTTCATTATTTCCTATGTAAATTCAATAGTCATATGTTTTGAATATGCGTGTTATTATGTGAAAAGTTCCTTCGTCATATTGTATCTTGATGAAAAAGTTAATTTTTTATTCAAATATCAGAGGCGAGATCATCTTGCTTATTTATATACATCATTTGGCAGAAGAGTCCATTTAGGAAAAGGAAACATGAAGGATTCCAAGTCTCAAAATGGAGAATCATCATCTGAGTTTTAAAAACCAGAAGGTCAGGTTAAAATCTGGACATTTAGTAACAGATCAAATGCCTGCTTGAACTAAGCGTGTATTCAGCTCAGCAGTCTTTCATGGTGGGAGCGACCCATCTGGTTGAAAATAATTTCATGTTAGTTTTTAGTAGCCACGTATGGTGGCTTCATGCTTTATGTATGTGTGGCTTTTTTTAGCTGGTAAATTATAAGTCAGACACAAACTTTAGCTCTTTGACCGATGTGTGTCCCAATACAAATGCACTGACTGAAGTGAGACACAAATTGGGGCTCTTTCATGAAAAGTTCTTAGGCATTTATGTCTCATGAAAGTGGTTCATGAAAATTAGGACTTTAAGAACTGACCTGAAATTCGATTTTCTTTTAGGAGTTAGGAAAACTTCAGGAAGAGTTTACTATTTTGTCCTTTTGAGGTCTTTCTCTGGAATCTATAAATCTACATATGGTCTATATATTGTTACTATTTGACTATTACCTATAAATATTTTCTTTTACCAGATCACCAAAGCCACATGGCTTTGCTACAAAAGTCATTTTTGAGATGCCTGTAGAGAATGAAAGTATTGACCTAATTAGAGGGAAAATTGGTTTTCCTTGTTGAATCCCAACCAACCCTGGGGGTACCAGTCTACCAGTGGTTTTCTGGGTAATAATTTATGAGTGACTGTAAGCAAGAGCGACTGAATTATAAACTTGAAACTTTCTCTGTTAAATTTACAAAAATCATTGACAAACTGAATATTTTTATGGTTTCTTTAAAACATGTACTTATACCTCCAGGACTACCAAAGTTGTTTTATAAATTAAGATTATGTATGGAGACGTCAATTAATAAAATTTGAACTTATGTGTAAATTGGATGCCAATAAAACACAAAATGAGTTGTAATTTCTTCTTCTGGTTAAGATAAAATAAACTAGACCATGTACATGGGTCTGCACTCTTTAAAATTTGTACAAAAATAAAACCCAAAAAAGACTCATTGTAGGGTAATTTCATTTCAATAGTCAGACTCCTGGAGCAAAAGTACTAGTGAGGCCTTCTCGTAGGATTTCTGCTGCTCGCCAGAAATCAAGAGAATGAACAAGCTGGAGAAATCGACAGACCTGGGAGCAGGGATGGGCCTTTAAGGGAAGGCAGGCGAATTTGGGGGAGGTACCTGGGCACCAGCGCCCCAGCGCCTGTTGCCAGCGTCTGAGAGCGGGCCGGCAACCCTCGGGCTCCCCCTAGCTCATCCCCGCAGCTCGCCCGCACCCCGAGGCGCCGGGAGCTGCCCC